TCTGGAACGTTGGGCAGAACATTTTAAGGCACAGTTTAGCTGGTCCCCTTCGACACAAGACTTTCCCCCATTCGATTCAACTGTGCAAATACTGCCAGTTGACATCAGTCCTCCATCGGCAATGGAGGTTACCCGGGAAATAAGTCACCTCAAACGGCATAAGGCTTCCGGCCCCAATGGGCTCTCCCCATCCGTTTTTAAGAATGGAGGCTCAGTCTTGGTTTTGGAGTTAACAAAACTCCTGGGCTCAGTGTGGGAAAAGGAAGAGGTTCCAACTGAATGGTGTGAATCGGTGATCATACCGATTTACAAGAAAGGTGACCGATCCTCCTGTGAAAACCACAAAGGAATTAGCTAAATCAATATTACCTCTAAACTTCTCGCCGGTATCATACTCCGTCGATTGTCTGCCGCACGTGAACGGTGTACGCGTGAGAACCAGGCCGGTTTCTCACCTGGTCGAGAATGTATTGACCACATCTTCCCACTCCGTCAAATTTTAGAACATAGACACTCCTTTCGTAGACCCACCGTTTTTATTTTCCTCGATCTAAAAGCGGCTTCGACTCAGTCGACCGCTCTAAACTCTGGCGCTGCCTTTCCCTGAAAGAAGTGCCCGAGACGTTTATTTCAATATTACAATCTCTCTACAATAATAACCGAAGCCGAGTTCGAGCTTACCGCACTTTTTCACCCAAGTTCACTGCGGAAAAGTAATGTTCGACTGGGTTTCTCCGTTTCTATTTAAGTTTGTTATAGATTTAATTCTTGAAACACCCCTATCCTCGTGCAGGGATAGGGGTATTGATTTACTTCCGGGTGGCAGACAGTCTGATCTAGAGTGTGCAGACGACATTGTGCTACTAAGTGACGATCCAGGTAAGTTGCAAGCTTTTCTGGATAGTTTGAGTGCTAGTGTAGCGATGTTCGGTATGCATTTTGCACCTTCAAAGTGAAAATGTTAATACAAAATTGGGTTGATCCAGCGCCCAGTTTCACCCTAAATGGGGAAGTAGACAAATTTTGCTATCTAGGCAGCTATATCTCACCCGGCGGACGCATCACAGATTAAGTGTCGGCGCGCATACAAAAGGTTCGATTGGCATTTGCCAGCTTGAGACATTTGTGGCGCCGTCGCAACATCCGGCTGTCTGTGAAGGGTCGAGTTTATGCTGCAGCAGTTCGGCCAGTCCTGCTCTACGGTGCAGAGACTTGGCCAC